AAAGCTGGAGACCAAAGGTAAGCAACACTTTTTCTCTCTGTTCTCACATTGTACTCACATACTGGTGCGCAGTCACCTGCGGTCATTTAAACAATCAGTGTAATATGCTTGAACTTGCCTTTCCAACCTGGAGCTGTGGCCAGTTTTGTGTGCAGGAAACAGTTCGAGCAAAGGAACTATTGAACTAATGATGCTGCTTGGCCTGCTGTGTTCATCCAGCCCTGCACCTTGTTGTCTCGGATTCTCCAGCATCTGCAGTTCCTACTACCTCTTATTGAACTGATATAATTGTTTGTGGATGTTAAGTGTAATATAGTAATGGACGCAATTCACTTACACTTAAAGGTTTGCAATGAATTTGCTCTATTTGATTTCAGTTCATCGAGATGAAGCATAATTTGGGAAGCGGTAATTCAGGAGTTCTTGGGCATTATAGTTAAAAGCAGACATTTGTATAAGCTAATCCATTCTTAGTGTAACTCATGCAATGTGAAAGTGCAAACTAAGGAACTGAAAATACAGTGTAGGTCTGTTAAAAATATGCTCAACTGGGTATTCTTCCCAGCCCTTTTAAACCACCATAATATCAACTCATCCCATCATCTGGACCTATGCCTTTGACTTTACAGGTTCTAAGCAGTGAAATTTCTGTCTCCAAGCTTGTTCACTTCTCCATCTCTTTTTGTTTTATGGTTTCCTTCAAAACGACCTCTCTATTCAAGAGTTTAGCCACCCTCTAGTGCGACACAGTGGCTCACTGGTTAGCGCTACTGCCTCTCAATGCCAGGAACCTGGGTTCAATTCCACCCTCGGGCACATTTCCCGCCGCACCAGTGTGGGTTTCCTCTGTGTGCTCCGGTTTCTCTCTCAGTCTGAATGTGCAGGTTAGGTGGATTGGACATGGTCAATTGATTATGGTGTCCAGGGCTGTGCAGGCTAGGTGGGTTGGCCATGGTAAATGTGGGGTTATAGGGATAGGGTAGGGGCCTGGGTCTGGGCGGGATGGTCTCTGGAGGGTCCATGTGCACTTGAGGGGCCGAATGACCCCTCTCCCCACTGTAGGGATTCTATGATTCTACTTGCCCAAATGTTTCCTTCTGCTTGCTTACACTCCTATGACTTAGTTTGAGATGCTTTATTATGTTAAAGCTATGAAATAAATGCAAGATGTTCTTTGGACTGCATTTTTTAATTTACTTTTGGACCTTGGACTATAAAAAATAACTACTGCTTTAAACCAAGGCAATTCTGCAGAGAAGGAACACATTGTGACTTGCCTTTTCCTGCAACAGTGAGAGCAATGTAGACAGCACAGAGACAAATAGTTCTCAATGAGGGGACTATCCACCTTTCTCTGCAAATCCCATTATGATAAAGGAAAAACAAAGTCACCTTTAGAGATACTGAAAGGCTAATATTCAACTAGTGAATGGGAAACTGCATCTGTGGAAATGACCTCATCTCAACAGCAAAGAATGACAAAGAATTGGAAGAAACCGAAAGCAAACAATTCATTGACTTCAGTGGCCTAGTGTGGTGCTATTGAACTGTTTTTCCCTGTTTTTTTTTTTCTTTTTACCACCTCCAATGTCCACGTCTTTTCTATCTTTGTGTGCCTTTATGTTTGTGAAGGGGGGAATTTAAAAATGATAGAGTTTAAGTAATCGAGTTATAGTTAGCAATTAATGTTTCCTTATTGCCAGTGTTAAAGACTAGTTTGTAATCGACAGTCTGTTTCTTGGTCAGTACAGAAAACTGGTAAGTGTTTCCTTTTAACATGAGTTCATCAGTCACGTAAATTGGAGGATTTGGACAATTTGTCTAATGTTACGTATTTGTGACAATTCTAGGAAGAGTAGGACTTGATTTCCAGAGCATTGCCCCAGTGAATTATGACATTTAGCATGGAGGCATTGTAAGAATGCAAGCTTTGATAGATGGACTTAAATGGTCAATTAAATTTTGGTATATTGCAGAGATGTGCATAGAACACATATATAAATTTACTCAATTTGCATGAGATGTAATCAGAACATAAAGCAAATACATGAACTTCTAGGTGTAAATTCTAAATACATTCTATCCTTTCAAAGTCAATAATGGATTTCAAGAATCCATTATTCTTGTCTAAAACTAAGATGTAAGCTGTTATGATGGTCCCTTATCACAGTTTAGCTTTGTGAAAGAGATTTGCTGAAATCATCTTCTTTTTCTGGTAGGGTCCTAGGGGGCTTGTTGGTCTAGTACGATAGAGAAAAAAAGTTAGTAGCCAAAGAGAAAAGACTCTTGTCTTAAACAAAATGTAGTTCATTGCATGATAACAACTAAGTACAAGTTGCATTGGCAATGATAGACATTATTACAAAACTAGAGAGGGAGATCTCAATGTTATGTCTTACTCCTTTTGAGGCAAAAAGCTGTTCTCCCTCACAAGTCCATGTCTGGTTGAAGAATCCTTTGCCTGTCTGTCTCCTTCTCTCTGTGATGTTTGTCTCTGACAAAGAGAGCCTTTTATCGAGAAAGGGTCTGCTAACGAGCTCAATCTTCTCTGTCCAGTGCCCTTCCTCACCATCACTGCCTGCTGTTAGAGACCCTGTTACACACTTAGCTGGTTGCAACTTGCCACCTCAACAACTATATATAGCACATAGTGACTGTTTACTAAGCAGTTGTGTGATCAGCTGGTTTGATTGTGCCATGATGGCTAGAATGTCTGGGTCCACATTGGCTGCATTCTGTTTTTGTATCACCAATGTGAACAAATGATAAGAGCTGGAGCAATATCCAGCATTTGCTTGAGAGGACCTCTCAAGCACATGCTGGATATTGAAAGCAAATGCTGGATATTGCCCCAGCTCTTATCATTTGGGTTTACACTTTCTGAGGGAGCCATACTTTGTGGCAGATCACCCGTTGTTATGGTCCAGCTTGGTCATGGCTCTAAGAGCTGAATGATTGGCAATGCTTATTAATTAAGTTTCTGCCTGAAAAGTGGAGTAAGCTTCCTCACAATAAACACTCTCCCTGGATTCACAACACACAGAGAGACACTCCAGGATTCCTTATCAGTATCTGACTCCACTTCATTTGAACTGTTGGATACCAATACTTCATAATCCACATGCTGCTGAGTGAGCTGCTTGCTTCCACAATATCCAACAGACTTTCAGCTTCAAACAACTTCCTTCTGTGAACCATTTTCCAAGGCTGCTGTCCAACGAACAGTTCAAAAACTTGGTGTGACCACCTGTATCCAGCTACTTGATTCTATGGACTGACGGTCCCAGACATCCGTTATCTTATTCTGACGATTTCAGAAGAAAACCCGTGGCTGACTTGGTCAGTGCTGTCGGCCTTGCAATCATTCAGTGTTTTTCATCTCAGTCATTCTCTCTTGGTCCTCTTGGATACCATCTTGAATGCCTGGCTTAGTCATTTGTGAAACTTGCCAATCCACTCATTGACCTGGCCATGTCTATTAGGTGTGGTGTGCCCAAGGTGATGGTCCATGGGAAGAACTGGGTCTTGTCCAGAGAAGAGAGAGTTTGAAGAACATCCTGAGTGGGGTATTATGTGCATCAACCAGATCTGAAAGGTACTCAAACCTGTTGCATTTCTACTCAGGAGTCATGTTCCACAGGCAGACACGTTGGTTGAATCATTCCACCTGTCCATTACCTTCTGGGTGATGGTGGGTGTGTAGCACTTGGCAATGCCACTGTTCCTTGCAAAATTCCTATATGATCTTGCTCTCGAACTTGAGCCCCGAACACTCTGAATCTGACACGAACACAAGCTGTTGGAGTCCCTGTTACATTCTGTAGTTGTGGTATGTAACTTTTTCACCTTATTCCACCCTACTGAAATAATCCCATCAAAAATTAATTAATCTGTTCACACTCATCCCCACTGCCTGGTAGGGAAAGAGGTTGGTATTAGCACTTCAAGCTGTATAGGCCCATGATTAATACAAATTTCACAATCGTCTATGAGATCCTGGACTGCTCATTCAATTGTACCTGCCAGAACCTACTGCTTGCATTGCGTTTTGTGTAAACTCTACGTTTGCATAATTTGGCTGAAATTGAGCAGGTCTGGCAGCATTTGTAGAGAGAGGAACAGAGTTAACGTTTTGAGTCCAGTGACCCTTCGTTAACTAACTCTGTTTCTCTGCAGATGCTGCCACACCTGCTGAATTTCTCCAATACATTGTTTTTGTTTCAGATTCACAGTTCTGTTTTATTTTTATATATCTTGTGATTTGTTTTCTCTAAGACCATAAGATATAGGAGCAGAAGTAAGCCATTCAGCCTATTGAGTCTGTTTTGATAACCTGAACCTCAACTTTCCAGCCTTTTGTCTATAACCCTTGAATCCCTAACCAAATAAAATTCTATCTCAGCCTTGAATAAACTTAATGACCCAGCCTCAACAGTTTTCTGTGGTAAGGAGTTCTGCAGATTTAGTAACCTCCTGAGAGAAGGAATTCCTCCTTATCTCTGTCTTAAATGTGCAACATCTTATTCTGAGATTATGACCTCCAATCCTAAACTCTCCCACAAGGTGAAACAATCTTTCCCATCTATCCTGTCAAGTCCACTAAAAATCTTGTATGTTTCAATAAGATCACTTCCTATTCTAAATTCCAATGAGTACAAGCCAAACCTACTCACCCTCTCCTCATAAGATAGTGCCTTCGTGCCTGATATCAGCCTCATTAACTAAAATTTATAGTGATTTTAAAAAAAATGCAAAGGGAATTGGAGTCACTGCCACCAGTATCCCTGGTTCCAAGACTACAATACACATGTTGCCACAGACACTCAAACACCACGGGGTCCAGTTGGATGGACAACTGGTGTGGTTCAGATTAGTGCCAACAAATCCCTGGAGTGGATACGGGACATACCACCCTGTCCTCACTATGGTTAAGGCTGTGGTGCTATGGGTCTGACTGCCCTTAGATGGAAAACTGAAGAAGATGCCAACTTGTGATAAAACATTGTTATGACTCGATTTATTTGCAGGTTATTCTTCCACATATTGGTGGCTGCCTGTGCACTTCTGTATGGTGACCTACACATCGAGCAGAAGGAAATAGTATACAATTTTTGTCAACTTTCCAGGACTATAACATTGGAGAGTCAGTCTTGTTTTCCTGTTGTTGAGGTTGTTCCAATTCTTGTGCAGCAGCTGCAGCAGTGGCCACTAAAGATTTCTGGGTAACAGTTGTCATGGCATTAAGGAGTTCAAAGGGCACAGGCAGGATGATGGGAGAAGTTTTCTCAGCAGACAGTGTGTGCAGTGTCTGAAGGTAGCGCAGCTGGATAGCAGCAGAGGATTCCGATAGAATATTTGCTGCAATTTTCAAGGCTTCCGAGGCTTCCTTCTCAGCTTCTGCTGCAATCACCTGCAATTCATTTACAAGGTTTTGAGAATTAGGCTTGGTACAAATGCTTGCCTTAGTACTCAGAGTGAAAGATAATTCATTAATTGGTCAATCTGCAAACAAGAAAAGAAACATTCCAACACTGATTCATACAACAGAAGAAAATTGCTGAGTTTTCCTTCTATTCCCACTTGCTAGCAACATTACCATTGCATCTTTGTTACTTATCCCAGCACTTTTAGATTGATTAAAAACACTTATTTAGTTTCCTCGCAATATCCATGTCAAGGGGCCCTAAGGAAAAACTTGTCTGCAGTCTTTTAATATCAGCTGTCATTGAAACAAGGATCCACTCTCCTTAATGACGGAAGAGATCTGAGAGAGATAACGCTGAATGTATGAACAACCATCTAAAGAAATATCTAACAGAATATCTAGGTGAGGTGCCAATGACTGCAGATTAAAATGTTGCCAGAATATCTTGCAGCCTTTCAATACAGAAAACATGGCACGGTGGCTCAGTGGTTAGCACTGCTGCCTCACAGAGCCAGAGAGCTGGGTTTGATTCCATCCTTGGACGACTGTCTGTGTGGAGTTTATACATTCTCCCCCTATCTGCGTGGGTTTCCTCCGGGTGCTCCAGTTTCCTCCCACAGTCCAAAGATGTGCAGGCTAGGTGGATTGGCCATGCTAAGTTGCCCATATGTTCAGGGATGTGTAGCTTAGGTGGGTTATAGGGGGATGGGTCAGGGTGGGATGCTCCAAGGGTCAGTGTGTTCTTGTTCTTGTTGGGCCAAAGGATCAAAAGGCAACAGAACCATCAAAAGAAATAGTTCAATAAAAAACAAAAGGAAGAAGTGGTCATCATTGACTGTGATAAACTGGAGAAATGGGTTGAACAATAGCTTGACTCATACTGTAGGGACGACCTTGTCATCAAGGAAATTTTAGACATCATAGAATGCCTGCTTGTCATGGCCGAGCTGCTATTTGAACCCAAAGCTGTCGATTCTCTTGTCATGAACAAAGCTCTAGGTTCTGATACTATCCTAACTGAAACCATCCTGCAGTTTCTGCTTAATTTCTCTGTCCTGCCCCAAGGTCTATCGGATACAGAGATTGCCACCCTGTACAAGAGCAAGGGTGACCACAGTGATTGCAACAACTATCATGCCATCTCCCTGCTGAGCTTGCTGGGAAATGCATTTGCTTGTGTTGCTCTTGTTAGACTCCAGATCATGGCTAGTCCAAATACCAAAGTTGTTTCAAAACTGGAAAATCTACAATTGTCATAATATTCTCAGTCTGACAGCAGTACGAGAAATGCTGTGAACAAAGGAGATGGTAAACGTTGCCTTTGTTGATCCCACCAAGGCAAAAGACCATATGAGCAGAAATGATCTACTTGAGCTGCTGGAGAAAACTGGCTCTCTGCTAAGGATGCTTAGTGTGATCTGTTTTCATGACGTGACAGGTGAGGTCAGTTATGATAGGGCAACATTTATAGTAGAGTGCAACTGTCAAAAGTCATGAACTGTACCATCTTGAATGTTTGAGACAGCAAATGCATGGGAGCACCACCACTTGCAAGTCCTCCCCTAACCCACATACTACCCTGCCTTGGAATTATTTTGTAATTCCCTCACTATCATAGGACACATTCTGGAATTATCTTTCTAATAGCACTGTGGGTGCGCTTATACCACAATTTATGATGGATTAAAATTGCTGGCTTAGCTAATGATACCCACATCCCATGAATGAGTATTTCCAAAAAAAGGAACCTACACTCTATCATACTCTAATCTTTGCTGCCATATGCATTCGCATATCTACTTGTGTACCAGAAGCTGCTCAGTCTTTTTCACCAGAAATCTAATATAAAGATGCGCCAACTCCTCATCAGAGAATTTCCAAATGCTGATGATGTTGCCGTAGTATTCCATATTGAGGAACACCTTCAATGACAAACAGACAGCCTCCCTCACATCTGATCATGAGGATGAGGAAGACTGAAGGCATGGTCCAGGAAATTGCCGTACTACCATCTATTAGCATTGATGTATTAAAACTGGAGGTTGTTGATAGCTTCACATATCTAAACTTTGCAAACCCCAGCAATTTGTCCCTTGCTGATGAAATCAACACCTGCAAAACAAAGGCTGCAGCTGTTACATTCAAGCTGAGTAGGAGAGTATGGACAATAGCAATCATTGATATGCGGAGCGATCTGGCTGTACAGGTCCATAGATCACTGAAGGTGGCAGCGCATGTAGATAAGGTAGTTTAAAAAAAAGGCTTATGGCATGCTTGCCTTCATCGGAAGGGGCATTGAGTATAAGGATAGACAAGTTATGCTGCAGCTTTATAGAACTTTAGTTAGATCACACTTGGAATGTTGCGTACAGTTCTGGTCACCACATACCAGAAGAATATGGGTGCTTCGGAGATGGTACAGAAAAGGTTTACCAGGATGTTGCCCGGTATAGGGGATTTTAGCTATGAAGAAAGTTTGGCAAACTGGGTTTGTTTTCACTTGAATGCAGGAGGTTGAGGGACGCCTTGATAAAGTTTATAAGATTGTGAATGGCATAGTGTGGAAAGTATGAGGCTTTTTCTCAGGGTGGTGGAGTCAGTTATTAGGGGACACAGGTTCAAGGTGCGAGAGGGAAGTTTAAAAGAGATGTGCAAACCAAGTTTTTCACACAAAGGGTGGTGAGTGCCTGGAATGCATTGCCAGAGGAGGTGGTGGAAACAGACACAATAGCAGCATTCAAGATGCACCTGGACGAATACATGAATAGGAAGGGAATAGAGGGATATGGATCCTGTAAGTGAATAGAGCTTTAGTATGGAAGGGCAAAGTGTATTGTCACAGACTTGGAGGGCCAAATGGCCTGTTCCTGTGCTGTATTGTTATTTGTTTTTTTTTTGTTCGTTAACAGCAACCTGACTCCGAATACAAACTGCAAGTCTACTAAGCCTGCATCTGCAACGTGCCCCTCCCCAGTGGTGAGACCTGAACAACATATGCTCAACAAAAGATAACGTTAAACAGTCTCTACCTGTGCCATCTCAGATGTATCCTTGGTATCTCTTAGAAGGGAAAATTCACCACCTCAAAAGTCCTGGAACATACCAATTCCATCAGTATATACTCAATGATATCTACACAGCTTGTCCACATTCTTCAGATGGATAAGAACTGTACACCCAAAGACCTTCTCTACAGTGAAGTAGCTACTGGATCATGACATCCTGGGAATGCATGCCTCTGTTACCTGCAAGCAAGGTACGAGGATTGCTGACGATGACCACCAGGAAACAATTGCTGACAGCCATAATCTATAGAGGCTGACTGTTTGAAAGGGCTTTGCAAGAAACTAGCAGAAAAGAAAACGCTCAGCTGGTCTGGGAACCAAAGAAAGCAGAAGCCAGCGAATTGTGCACCTTCTTAGCTTCTAGCAAAGGGACCTACTTCGTTCAGTCTTCCACTCTGGCGGAGACTGCCATGCCGGAGTGGGGTTCCTATGCCAAAGCAGGTCATGCTGAACACATTTTACCACGATGACACAAAGACCAAGTCTTGTAAGGTGGAATGTCTTCACCACAGTGATTACATGATGACCAACTTGCAATTTATAAGTCTAGACAGTGGAAGACAGGGATCAATGAGAAGAGAAAACAACTTCTAGAAATTTCAGTTTTGAGGTTCAGAGAAGAGAGTAGAAGATGTGCAGTTGGTTCTAGGTTCAAAAGACTCAGGAGGAAAAACACATTAGATTAAGTATTTTTATCTGGAAAAGAACAAAACAGGAACTTTCCCAGGAGTAGAGACTATAGTAGGATCTACAAAATGAAGAAAGGCTCTGATGTAGAAATAGGAACTGTACCTTACTGCAAAGTTTTTCAAGACGTTAAAAAGGGTAACAAAGGGTGATTAAGTGAGATCCTTTAAGCAGTTTTTATTGTCCACAGTGACTACCCAACTTCTTTCCTCCCCAGTATAAGTGGTTTGAAATGTTCTCATTTGAATCCATTGTAACTCTATAACATTACCTTCTCTAAAAACAATCATATTGCTTGCTTAAATCAGAGTTTAGCTAAATGGTAGGAAATCTGCTTTGATAAGCATGTGGATTTCTCTACCACAGGAGTAGTCAGTGAGTAGTGTAGATATATTCAAAGGAGTGTTGGATAAGTACACCAGTGAGAAAGAAGTGGATGGATGAATGAGTTCGGGAACGGTATGGATGGTGGGAGGTTATGTGGTTGAGATGGGGACTGAGGGTTGGAAGTATGCACACAACTCTACAACCGGGTGATAGCTCTGTGAACAGAAAGTAGAATTAATGTTTTGAGTCGAGTGGTCCTTCTTTGGAACTTCAGATTCCTAGTTTGCAATTTTTTTTTTCTTCATTTATGCATTCACAATTATTGATGAATTAACTTTGGTAATTTATGATCTCCAGTAGATAGTCCAGCAATTCCTTACCTTAGCTTTGGCTTGTCTGTGTGCTTCCGCTTCCACTGCTAGTGAATACTGAACTTCTGCTGGTAGGCGGATGTCTTTTCTGTGAGCATAGTTAGATAATTATTAATGGAAATTTATCTTCAATACATTCAGATCTATAGTTCCACTCTACTATCGAGCTTAATTACAACATTTTGTTGTGGTGTTAAAAAAAGATTTAATAATTGCCACCCAGTACTAAATTTGTCCTACCATGGGAAACAATGCCACTAAAGTTCAAATATTCAGTTGCGATCATTTTACCTCGTTCCTCACCCTGCAAAAATCTAATATCTTTCACATTGTGTCATCTGGCAACTTGGCTGAAGACTATTACTTGACTCAACCAAGTGAGTTCAAGTCAAAAAAAGCAAGGTAAGCCCAGCCTGGCCGGTTACCACCCCATTAGTCTCCTCTCTATCATCAGCAAAGAGATGGATGGCTTACCAACAGCATTATCAAGAGGCACTTGCGTAGCAATAATCTGATTACTGATGCTCCAGTTTGGGGTCCACCAGTACTGCTCAGCTCCAGGCAACATCACAGCCTTGGTTCAAAAAATGGATAAATGAACTCAATGTCAGAGGTGAGGTGAGAGTGACTGCCCTTGATGTCAAAGCTACATTTGACCAAGTGTGGTCTCAAGGAGCCCTAGCAAAACTTGAGTCATGGGGAGTTGGAGAAAACTATCCACTGGTTGGAGTCAAACCTAACACTAAATATATGTAGTTGTTGTACGTTGATTATCTCAGCCCCAGGACATCTCTGTGGAAGTTCCTCAGGATTGTGTCCTAGGCCCAGCCATTTTCAGCTGCTTCATCAATGAGCCTTCTTTCATCATAAAATCAGAAGTGGAAATGTTTGGTGATTGTGCAGTGTTCAGTACCGTTTGTGACTCCTCGGTTATCAAAATAATTGATGTCGGTTTGTAGAAAGACATGGACAACATCCAGGCTTGAGCTGATCAATGGCAAGTAACCTGCATGCTGCACAAATGTCAGCTACTGACCATTTCCAACAAGAGAGAATGATCTTGATATTGATATTTAAATGCATTCAATTACCTGTGGCTAAATTTCCCCATTATCAATATTCTGGGGTTACTATTGACCAGAAAATTCCCTCCAAGCAACACACCATCCTGACTGGAACAATATTGCTGCACCTTCACTGTTTGTGAGTCTGCAGCAGTTCTACATAGGAGCTGACCACCACCTTCTCAAGCGCAACTAGAAACTAACAATAAATGCTGGGCTGGCAGCGATGCTCACATCCAGTGACTGGATATTTTTAAAATAGCTATCTTCCTGGGTTTGTCATAAAATTGATCTTTTCACAACAGAAAATTTTATTTTATGTACTAATGTAAGCTACTGTTCATTTGCTTATCAAATTCTCGCTCTGGGATTCTCAGGAAAGCAAGGACAAGTGCTCAGATCAGCAGCCTGATGTTTGCCAAGGGCTCATTCTTCAAAATGACCTCTGCTTTGATAACCCAAATAAATTCACCAGATTTGGACCAGATTTATTACTTGAAATCATTAGACTCCAGTATTTAATGACTAGTTCAAAACAAAGATTGGGGAAAATATCCAATACAGGTCAGACTGCCGTTATGGAGGCCTTGGTAGTGTGCTTTAGTTTGAACTGTAGAGGTTTGCAGTTATGTTATTGCTGCTGTTATTTAAAGCAAATGTAGAAATTCAACCTTTATGATAGATATTTCAAATTTTTAGGACATCCGCTCAAGGCATTCCTTTATAAACAAAAATCAGCAGAAATTGAAAGCTATGCCTCTAAGCAAAGTATATTTTTTGCCAGAAGAAGAAAAGCAGCTTTCACTTATAGAGAGTCTTTCATGTTCAAAGAATGTACAATGCCTCAACAGTAAATGAATTTTTTAAAACTGTAGTTATGCCATAACCAAATCAGTTAATTTCTACACAGTACATTTTGACAAACAGTAGTGAGATAAATATCTAGGTTGTGAATATTAACCAGACAAGTCCCTCTTCTGCTGTATAAATGGGGCATGCAACCTCTTGCATCACCTGAACAGGCACATGGGGTTTTGTGAAAGCTTCTAAAATGGTGCCATGGCAATGCAGCATTCCCTCATCATCATTGGGTTTAGGTTATGCTCTCAAATCCTGGAATGAACTTGTAAGATCATCTTTATGATTCAGAGAGCTATTACAGGGTGAAGGCTGGCATTGGAAATTCATTCTAGTAACTAATGTGATTATATTATTTTGTGATCAATTTCTGAACATGTTTCCATGATGAATTTCCTTTCATAAACATACATTTCAGCCTGTTCCACCTTGATTCCCCAGTTGCAGGTTGCCGCATCCAGTGCTGTCTGCAAAACAACATGGAACCATGATTAGATTACAGTTTATAATGTATGAATTGACCACTTTATTATAAACGTGTATGAAGCCAACTGAATGATAAGGTCTATGTATGTTCTATGACCGTTGATGGCCAAATCTATAACTCTAAGTGCATTTAGATTCCAAACTGAATACTGCAAAGGTAATGGACTAATTCATTAATAGAGAAAAGAGTGCAAGGACTGAGATGTGTGATTAATCAGTGCTAGTTCAAAATAATATAGCTAGCATGAAACATTTTGTCTCTGCTGCTTCTAATGACAGTGGAATTTAGCCCAAAGGTAAATATGCTGTTCAGTAGCCACACATCTCAGCAAGTCGATATGAGACTAACTCCACTTAAAGCTGGCGGCTCTACTTAAAATCACAGCGTATTCTGATTGGTGAAAGTCATTAAGAAAGAGTTTATGGTCAAAAGGATGAGTGGAAATAATGAAAAAGGCCATGAATGTGTCTTGAGAGAGGCACGGCACCATAGTATCAGGATCCCAGCATTCGCCATGATTCGCTCAGTGTAGTTATTCATCAGTTGCACAGTGAGTATTAACATTTTGCAGTTGGCACGTCTCAGTATTTAGATATAGTGCCTGCAAAGGCCTGTGTGTGAATTGCTGGCAACCTGTACCACAGGAAATCCCACTATCCCAACGAAACCACATGCACACCTTACCTGCTTCTGTTCATACAGAAAGGACGCCATAACTGTTTTCTTGGTATCAAGAATATCTGGCATCTCTTTAATGCAGCAAAACTAAACAGTGATCTGGGATGTCCATACATCTGAAATCAACCGAGTGCCATGAAATTCAGCTTCACAGCCACTGGCAGCTCTGTCCTCACCCCACTCTGAGAATGCAAAAGGTGGCAGAATTCTGTGAACATCTACTTTGTGAAGCAAAGACCATGCACTAGTTCTGGCTTAAGTGAACTTAGGTGCTATCACAGGCCATAGCTGTATGAGGCCTGGCTGAGAGACCTTCTCTCATTCCTCACCTTCTCTTGCAAATAGCTTGTCATCATCTTTGCTTTATCTACATTATCTTGTGCTGTAGCCCATGGGAAATGCAACTATAGCACCCAGAACTGGGACAGAGTAGTCTGGCCAGATCCTTGCATTCATGGCCAAAACCTTATCCATGTGCAACACGACTTGCTGACTTCACTAACTTTAACCAATCATCAAACCACCAAACACTTGTAGACATTCAAACAGGGCCCATAGAGATTAATCAGCAATTCACATGAAAGTTGATGATGATTTCTGTTGTAGGAGCTGCCTGCAACTGGCACCTGTTTCTGCTGGGATCTTCTTTGGACGTACATATAGCCACTTCTTGTGAAGGTTAAGTGTGATTTATTAATCATGAGTAAGTCTTCAGCAAAGAAGGCATGTATTTGACAAGCAAGAGTAGCGTGTTTCATACCAATAAGATTACCTTAGCTGAAGTCTGTTAACTACATTAGCACTAGATAATAAACTTTGTCATTGCCTAGGAAATAGTAACTAGGTCAATGGTACATGGCTGTAGACTGTAGAACTGAATAACAACTAACAACAAACAAACTAACTACCTCCTGTTGAGTGTGTCACAGTCAGTATGATGTTATACCTTTAAGAGATATGCTCAATGATATTATTACTTTATCACGGTATGTGATCTGAGGTCATAAGTGTTTCATACTCCATCTTACGTCAGATCACTTGAAGCATGACAATCTACTGGAAGAATGCTGCTCTGTCGTAACCGAATAGCTTAATTCTAGCCCAGACACTTGTACTCCTGAGGAATGTAATGTTTGTGCATAATAGTTGTAATAAATGTCATTGATCTCTTCAATATCATGCTATCGATGTCCAATTTCCTAATTATGAGAGATAACGTAAGCATTGTTACGTCAGTCAGGTAAAACACCCTGTTGGAGTCAAACTCACACTACCTTCTAAGATACCCAATTATATATTAGCAGCAGAACTATTCCAAAGCTTCTGAGATAACCCTTTCAGGCTAGTTGTGTGATACAACAGCATAGCTAACCTCTGGTAGGGAGCTCTCTCCTGCTGTCAATTGAAAATTCAATTGTACAACTTTTACAGAGGGTGTAATCAAAAGTGACAAGGCTTAAACTGGTAGAACTACCATCAAATTAGTGTTACACGCTGACTTTATCAATTGCATAATGCATGTTCCCTGCTCACGCTCCTAACATCCTTACCAAAGTGGCACCACGTAAGCACCACCCCTAGAGTCTGTGTGTGTGCATAGCACCAAAACAATTATCATTCTTAATTTGCACCCCACCACTGAAACTATGGGTACTTTGTAGGCAATTTATTTACCAAGATGCACTGCATGTAATCAGTGTCAGTTTCTCTCTGGTGGTTGGAAACAAAGGTCAGGGCTGTTTCTGGACCTCATTCTCATTCTCCCCTGGAGAAGTAGTTAACTCATTGGGATTTTCTTGTGGTTGGCTACTCGATTGGCATTGAATGATGATGCATGAGCTCTCAAATCTGGCCAACCAATCAAAAGCCTTCCAGTTTGAGCGAAGCAGTTGTCTGGAAAGGATGATAAGTAACAGAGTTCATGTTACAACATGGAGGCACCCTTTTGCCAACTTTTCCATATCTTTAATTAAAATATAGATAGCCTAGTCAACACTATAAGGGAATGGGTGGAGAGATCGTCCCATGGGTTTGCCTTTATCTGCTGTTGCAATTGAACAGGGAGAAAAAGCCTACAAGTCTCTGTGGAGCACTGGCCCCCAGCCTGCAGCCAGATGTCTGCCTCTGAAGCTATGAGAAACTGGAAAACCCCAGTCGACATCCTTTAATTAGGTTTGACATGACCTAATTAAGGCTAATCAGCTGTGATTCAATTCGTTGCACTTTTGCACCTGATTTTAACATTCTGAGTTCAAGTTCATTCCATGGTTCGACCACAATAATCAGGGATGACACTCGAGTACAGTACTGAGGGAGGAATGCACTGTCAGAGGTGCCAGCTATTGCTTGATACATTAACATTAGTCCTTGACTGCCTAGTTGTACAGACATTAAAAATTCATGATATTATTCCAAAAACTAGCAAGGGAGCTATCCCTAATCAACATCACAATAACAACAGATTATCACATCACTTTTTGTGAGAGTTGGCTGTGTACGTATTGGTTGTTCTGAGTCCTTTACAACAGTAACTACACAAAAGCATGTTAGTGCTTGTAAAGTGCTTTGAGATATCTAGCAGTTGTAGCTTTATTAATATAAGTCATTCTTTCATTTCAACCATCTGACACATGGGGGTGAATAGCCCTGCTAGCCCCAAGCCAGCCTCTGGTTGGCATCAGAATTTTTTGTACCCTGTCTGCCTCTGTTTCTGTTTCAGCTGGGCTGAAAATTTGGACCTAAAGAATCTTATGGCATAATAAGCAGACATCCCAATGTCTGCATAAATCTTCAAAACCACTATCCAGTTAATGCCAAATGCTCATTTCTTTTTCACGGTCCTTCAAATTTTTTGCTTTCGTGGAAATATCTAATTTCTTCTTGAAGGTTACTATTGTAGCTTCTTCCAGCATCCTTTCAGGCACAACATTCAGATCATCATAACTCACTAGCTGTTTCTTTGCACTTCAACAGGGTTTGTCACTTTGGACTGGAATTTGATATGGAAAAACTCACCACTATACCATTATTTGTTTTTGGGTTTGTCTAGAACAAAATGTATCATATGCTCCAAGTTCTGAATATGCAATTTCTGTACTTACTTGTGACCTAAACATTCACTGAAACTTGTTCAGTGTAATGAAAATAGAAATTAAAAATGATCATGGATTGAAAGAGGAAGTTGGGTATAGGAAGGAATACTTGCATTAGATGTAGTTAGATAATGTAGATAACATCTATGTTAAATCTTATGGTTCTTTTTCAGTAAACAGCTTTCTGAGCCAGCTACTGAATTTTGTAAAGATCACTACTTTTGATATGGTATAATGGTATCCTGGCTGTTGGTACACAAAACTGTCACAGTTTGTGAGAAAGATAATGTGCCAGATTTTGCTGTTAGTATGACTTGTACTGATACCCATCAGCCCAAAACATTGTTTCAGAGATACAAGGAACTGAAGATGCTGGAGAATCTGAGATAGCAAGGTGTAGAGCTGGATGAACGGAGCAGGAAAGCTGATATTTTGGGGGGTCTAGGCCCAAAACGTCAGTTTTCCTGCTCCTCTGATGCTGCTTGGCCTGCTGTGTTCATCCAGCTCTACACCTTGTTAGCCCAAAACATTGTGGTATGTTATGTTATTTAGACTGCAAGCTTGAAAAACAAATCAGACAGTGAGAAAAGAATGGAACATGGAACCTGAGCAAACAGAGCAACCAAGTGTAAATATTCTGAACAAATGAGATTGAAGGATTAAGAAATAATCAGGCCATGGATTTGAAAAGGAGAATTCAAATAGAATGTGAGAATTCAATAAAAAGTGAAAGAACTGCAGATGCTGGAAATCAGAAACAAAAACAGAAATTGCTGGAAGTTCTGAGGAAGGATCACTGGATCCAAAACATTAACCCTGATTTCTTTCCATAGATGCTGCCAGACGTGTGTGTGTGTGTGTGTGTGTGTGTGTGTGTGAGAGAGAGAATTCGATGTCAGATCAGATATAGAAAAGGTATTAACAGAAAGCTCTCATGCTCACATTTCTGTCCACAGTCCAGTGCAGCTTAATGCAAGGAACAGCACCTCATTTTCCATTTCAGCACTTAACAGCCTTCTGAACTCAACATTGAGTTCAACAACTTCAGAGCATGATCTCTGTCCTCCCATTTTGTTTCTGTCTCTTTTTTTTTATATAGTCTTGCTTTATCAGAGTTAACCTATATTAAAACAACTCTGGACCCATCCCATTTCTCTAGATCCATCCCTGTTCCCTTTGCATTTGTTTTGTTACTTGATTAATCTCTAATCACCCACAACCTCTACCCTTGCCCTGACCGTTCGCTCTGTTCCACTTCTCCTCCCCACCTTTTTCTACAGTACAAAACCCATCACTTTTCCACCTCTCTTCAGTTCTGAAGTCCAATTGAATTGAAAATGTTCATTCTCTTTCTCTCTCTCTCTACAGAATTTGTCAGATCTGCTGATTTTCTCTAGCACTTTGTTTTCTTGTTGAATATTCCCATATTTTGGCTGTGTCCTTTTGGCTGTGTTTCATGGAGAGTTTCTCTTTGCAATGCCAAGTGGGTTTTGCTTGTCCCAAACCTGCCTCATTAGCTACTTACCTCAACTCTCTGGCACCCCTTACATTCAATGCAAGCCTGATTTGCCCACATGCTGTAGCTGGAGGTTTTCTCTGAGATATACCAGCATCTCTGGCATTTGCACCATCTTGGAACTCCAGCTCTACACCAGGTCAAGTGTTGCAGTCTGGAATTGCCCTTCGCTGTCAATGTGGTAGCATAGCAACCACAAACCAACGCTTCTCACAAGGCATAAGTGGCACCATTGAACCTCCTTGCAATGGGCAGCTGCATATTGCTACACTTTTCACAACTTAACCTGCAAGCCACACAGCTCAGTTATCTTTAACCCATCGTACAAAATAGAAATTGCTGGAGAAACTCAGCAGGTCTGGCAGCGTCTATAGTGAAAGCAGAGTTAATGTTTTGTGTCTAGTGACCCTTCTTCAGAATAGATCTTACAATCTTCTCTAAGTCACTGCTACTGTCACCTCAATGCCCACCATATCCCAGCATCTTACTGTTGTTTATTGTAGGACCATCATAAACAGGAAAGCCTTCAGACACCTCAAAACATTCACTTTTCTTTAAATGCACCAAAACAAACCGAAGCTGCATTTGCCTCTTGCAAGTCAAGCACTGACAATTTTTACGGTCAACGAATGTCACTCCACTCATAACGCTTGATACTGTTCTCTATCATGCACCAGATGTTCGTCCAGCTCCGTGTTCTCACCCTTCTCCTCAGAAGACTGCTTCCACTCACCCAGTTTGTAAGTATCTATCACATCCTCTCTTTGCCTGCTGCAGTTGTGCAGGACACAGCATTCAAGGACTATACAGCGAACTCTCTAATGTATTGCAAGCCCCCACGCTCCCCCCACCCCCAACTCCATGCCAGTCCAAGCAATTAAACCTCAACTTCAGAAGGCCTATTGCCTGCTCCGTCATTGCCTTGGTAAAGAATTTTGTTTCTTATTAATTTCCAGGTTGTTGCTGGCTAAGCCAGCATTTATTGCCCACCCTTAATTCCCCAGAGGGCAGTTCAGAATCAACCATGTTTCTGTGGGTCTGGAGTCACATGTACACCAGACCAGGTAAGGACAGCAGTTTCCTTCCCTAAAGAACATCCATCAACCAGATGGGTTTTTCCAACAATTGACAACTGTTTCATGGTCACCATAGACTCTTATTTCTAGATTTTTTTTTTTTAAAATTGAATTCAAATTCCACTGTCTGACATGGCGAGATTCAAACCCAGCTCCACAGAACATTACCTGTGTCCGTGAATTAATGGTCTAGTGATAATACCACCAGGCCACCACATTCCCCTAATGGGTGGCATTGTATCCACGCTCCGACTTAATCAATTAACTTGCAATACTCCTACATTTCATTAAAATATCTTCAACAACAAAGTAAAGTAACTTTCACAAATGATGCAGAAAAATAAAACAAGTTGGTGTATTTTATCTAGAATTTCTAGTATATTGATGACTTGGGTAGGGCCTACATCATTGCCACAGCAAGTACGAGACTTTGTAATGTTTACAATATGGAGTTTGACGCACTAATCAGGATAAACTAAGATATCGCAGTTCCATACTGTATGTTTCAGTATGAGTGAACAGACAGAAGACATGGAAAAAGGGTTACATATTTATTGGCAGGAGGTGAATAGGGTGGTTGTAATCTTGGAGATGTTGAATTTGAAAAAAATATGGCTGAACCATGGCCTGATTTTGGAAAAGTAATTGGCTTCACTGAGTTGATAATGATGGTGGAAACCACAGGGCTGAATCAATTGGCCTAATTCGGGAGTTGGAGCATATAGATGAAGAAAAGAAGGGGCACAAGGATGGAATCATAGGGTATTTTTGAGATGACTGCATAGGGATAGAAGGAGATGCAGATGCATTTAAGGTGCACTATACAGAAAAAACAGTGGGTTTGGATGAACTGTTCATCTGTGTGGAACACAACAGAGAAATTGAACAGGACAAGATTGGATAAGGTGCAATAATTGTAGTAACAACACAAAAGTGGTGATTTTATGTCCGTGTGGTTGACAGGATGAAAATTAAACTGAAAGAATTCAAACAGACTATTTTCAGACAGGGGAACTTCCAGGGAGTTAATAACAAAACATTCAGGAAAGGAAAGAGAGATTATTTGGGGCCAGAAACCAGAAAATGTCATGGCATGATCTTCGAGAAAGGGGCAACAAATACTAACTTTGAAAATGAGAGGAGTGCAGCTATTTTCAATTTGTATACCTTGATTTCATCACCAATAGGTTTCCTCTCCAGGAGAATTTCATTGAATTTCCGACTAGCTAAGTTCCGTTTCATAATAGTTTGCACCAGCAGCGATACTGAGACAGATGTGTTACTGACTGTTGTTAAAGAGAGGGAGGCATTTTCTACCCGATAATAGCAGATAGCATTCACTTGAGCAGTCACCATGTCACTGGATATGACCTGCAAAATAAATGGTAGGACCTTGAGTGTTACAACTCTTTCTATTTCAGGAGAAACAGTCAAAAATCAAATGCTAAATGGAATCAATTAGATACGTTCAATATTGATAGCTCTACATTTGCACAGATAGAAATAAATGAGCGAGATAATATAGCCACAAGAGAACATTGTTGCAAAGTTACAGTTGGGAACCTGAACATTCAAGTTTGTTTGACATATCAGAAGGACAGGAAAGAAGGAGAAGGATGTGGAGTGGCTCTGTTAAGGTTACGATTAATACAGTGGTGAAAATGAATATGATAAGCTCATAGAAGAGTTAAGTGACAGGTGTAAGATTTGTAGTGGCTTTGGATTTAAGATATGAGATGAAGAAAGGAAACATTTTGAAGATTTGGCAACTAAATTTTGTCAGTTGACGATAAAACAACATAAATACTTAGAGCATGGGTCCGTACTTGGAACTACTTAGAGCATGGGTCGGTACGTGGAACTACGATGTTGTGGCCGTTACAGAAACTTGGGTAACTCAGGGACAGGAATGGTTGTTGGAAGTTCCAGGATTTAGATGCTTTAAAAGAAATAGGGAGGGTGGAAAAAGAGGTGGGGGAGTGGCATTGCTAGTCAGGGCGAGTATAGCAGCTACTGAAAGGCAGTTCGAGAATGATATGTCTACAGAGTCAGTTTGGGTTGAGGTCAGGAACAAGAAAGGAGCAGTCACTTTGTTGGGGTTTTTTTTACAGACCCCCTTATAGTTGCAGAGAAGTAGAGGAGCGGATTAGGAGGCAGATACTGGAAAGGTGCAGAAGTCACAGGGTTGTAGTCATGGGTGACTTCAACTTTCCAAATAATGATTGGAAACATTTTAGTTGTAACAGTTTAGATGGAGCAGATTTTGTCCAGTGCATTCAGGAAGGATTCCTGACACAGTACGTAGATAGACCAACACGAGGAGAGGCCACTTTGGATTTGGTGCTTGGCAATGAACTGGGCCAAGTGTTAGACCTGTTGGTAGGAGAGCATTTTGGCGGTAGCGATCATAACTCTGTTTCTTTCACGATAGTCATGGATAAGGATAGGTACATACTGCAGGGTAAAGTTTACAACTGGGGGAAGGGTAATTATAATTCTGTTAGGCAAGAACTGGGTAACATAAATTGGGAACAGATGCTGTCAGGGAAGAGCACCACAGAAACATGGAGATTGTTTAAGGAATGCACACTGCATGTGCTCAATATGTTTGTCCCTAGCAGGCAGAGAAGATGCGGTCGAGTGAGGGAACCATGGTTCTCGAGAGAGGTCGAACGACTGGTTAAGAGGAAGAAGGAGGCTTATGTAAGGTTTAGGAAAAGAGGAACAGAAAAGGCTGTAGAGGGATACAAGTTAGCCAGGAAGGAGCTGAAGAAAGGGCTTAGGAGAGCTATAAGGGGGCATGAGAAAACCTTGGCGGATAGGATCAAGGAAAACTCCAAGGCTTTTTACACGTATGTGCAGAACAAGAGAATGATCAGAGAAAGGGTAGGGCCGATCAAGGATTGTAAAGGGAATTTATGCACAGAGCCTAAAGAGATAGGAGAGGTCCTTAATGAATACTTTTCTTCAGTATTCACAACTGAGAGGGACCTAGTTGTAGAGGAGGACATTGTGAAACAGGCAGGTAGGCTAGAGGAGGTTAATGTTAGTAAAGAAGATGTGCTAGGAATTCTGAGGAAGTTGAAGAAGATAAGTCCCCCGGGCCTGATGGGATTTATCCAAGGATTCTATGGGAAATAAGGGATAAGATCGCAGGGCCTTTGGCGATGATCTTTTCGTCCTCACTGTCCACAGGTATAGTGCCGGAAGATTGGGAAGAGGCAAACATCATTCCCTTGTTCAAAAAAGGGAGCAGGGATAACCCCGGAAATTACAGGCCAGTTAGTCTTACGTCAGTGGTGGGCAAATTATTGGAAGGGGCTCTGAGAGACAGGATTTATGATCACTTGGAAGCCATAGTCAGCATGGATTTATGAGGGATAGATCATGCCTCACAAACGTTATTGAATTCTTTGAAGAGGTGACCAAACACGTGGATGAAGGTGGAGCAGTGGATGTGGTATACATGGATTTAAGTAAGGTGTTTGATAAAGTTCCCCATGGTAGGCTCATGCAGAAGGTAAGGAGGCATGGGATAGGGGGAAATGTGGCAGATTGGATTCAGAATTGGCTGACCCTTAGAAGACAAAGGGTGGTAGCGGACGGAAAATATTCAACATGGTGCTCAGTTACGAGTGGTGTACCACAAGGATCTGTTCTGGGTCCTCTTCTATTTGTGATTTTTGTAAATGATTTGGATGAAGGAGTGGAAGGGTGGATTAGCAAGTTTGCGGGCGATACGAAGGTGGGTCGCGTTGTGGACAGTGCGGAGGGCAGTTCTAGGTTACAAAGGGACATTGATAGAATGCAGAGCTGGGCTGAGAAGTGGCAGATGGAGTTTAACCCTGAAAAGTGTGAGGTGATTCATTTTGGAAGGACAAACTTGAAAGCAGAATACAGTGTTAACGGAAAGATTCTTGGCAGTGTGGAGGAGCAGAGGGATTTTGGGGTTCACGTTCACAGTTCCCTGAGAGCTGCCACCAGGTGGATAGAGTTGTTAAGAAGGCGTATGGTGTGTTAGCTTTCATTAATAGAGGGATTGAGTTCAAGAGCCGTGAAGTTATGCTCCAGCTATACAAAAGCCTGGTTCAGCTAACATCTGGAGTATTGTGTCCAGTTCTGGTCACCTCCTTGCAGGAAAGATGTGGAAGTGTTAATAAAGGTGCAGAGGAGATTTACCAGGATGTTGCCTGGAATGGAGGGAAGGTCTTACGAGGAAAGGTTGAGAGAGCTAGGGCTTTTCTCTTTAGAACAACGAAGGATGAGAGGTGACTTGATAGAGGTGTACAAAATGATCAGAGGTATAGATAGAGTAGACAGCCAGAGACTTTTTCCTAGGTTGGAGGTAGCTTTTATGAGGGGACATAGTTTTAAAGTGAAAGGAGGTAGATATCGGGAAGACGTCCGAGGTAGGCTCTTTACTCAGAGTGAGAAGGGGCATGGAATGCATTGCCGGAGAGGGTAGTGGAGTCGGCCTCATTAGGGGCATTTAAGCGGCTATTAGATAGGCATATGGATGACAGTATAAGCGGTAGAGGTTAGATAGACCTTAGGTTTAGGGTAAAAGTTCGGCACAACATCGTGGGCAGAAGGGCCTGTACTGTGCTGTACTGTTCTATGTTCTACATCTAAGAAAATAATTGTGGATAAGTTAGTGGAAAAGTGGATAAGGACTAGATTTGGACCACTGGCACTTTTTTTTCTGATTTGGGAGTTTGGGGAGGAGTGTGTTGTTCGCAAATGGTCCATTTAAAGATTTGTGTACAAATATGAACAAATTAATTATGAAACAGCAGCAGAAAGCACTTTCAGCAATAGGGTATGTGAAAGGAACTATGAAGTAAAAAATGAAAAGGTTAAAAATATTTTGGCAGATCAGCCAAACTGTAAATTATCATCTGCATTGGCATGGGTCTATGTGATAAGAATTAATTACAGATGGTTAAAGGGTATAATCCAAGTTTGCTCATTTTTAATAGGAATCCTAAAGTTCTACCTGTAATAAGTGAACAGCCCCCCAGCTTGGGAAGGGGGCAACAATAAATTCTATTTTTTCAGAACATTTGAATGCACTACATACAGACAGAAAATCCTTCATTAAAGCCATTTGCTCAGAAAGAATTCAGGAGCCTTGAGGTAAAGGCATCAAAAACTGAAGAGACTGAAAGAATGGACAGTCTGGCATGGGGGAAGGTTATTGGTAAAGATAGAAAAGTAATAATTATATAGCATGGGAAAAACTTTGTTCATGTACGCTCTTTAAGGTTGCTTGGTATGGATTACAAATTTTCAGATTCTGAAGGAGTTACAGAAAATAATGAGGAGCCGAGTGTCTCCTGTATCCAAATGCTGCTTGGCCATAAGGATCAAATGGCTACAATTCACAGTTTGTCTGATGGACAGATCAGTTCTAATGATCAATATGAGGCTATTGATACCAAAGACCAACTGCCAAAAGTAGGTGTGTAAGTCCAATATTTATTAGAAAGGGCTTGTCATGGAGAAATGCAGAAAAGGCCACCAAAAAATATTAAAGCTGGATGGTTGTGTAGGATGAGGGGTAGGATGTTAAGGCCAACGATTGGCCACTTGAAGTACAAAGATGGAATGCAAGAAAACTCGGTGTAAGCTCAAACTACAGGACTGGAAGTGAACATGTCCCTAGAAAGAAATTCTATTAATAGGAGGGGGAGGTCAAACAGTAATGGTCCAGAAAGAGAGAAAAAGCACGATAAAGAGTGTAGGTTAACAAGAGCAAGAAATATAGTGCAAACCAGGAATACCACCAGGAGGAGAAGCCCAAGTGATTGGAAAGTCTTAGTGGTCACAAAGAAACTAGAAGTCAAGTGAATGAAAGAATGCATAGAACAAGGAATTACAAAAGCTGGAGAGAATGTGGGGGTACACACAGAGGTCCCAGATAGGGGACAGTCGCCCCTATCATATATAGGTGGCTACCCACCATGAAGGAGGCTCCTGATTGGATATACAAAGCTAAAGCAAGACCTATGGCATGAGGTTTTGGAGAAAATTTGGGAGACCAAGATATAAGGGTAGATTCATCGACAGCAGGAAAAACAATTTTGTGGATTTTCCCAGTTTTTGTTAAGGATTGTAGATCAGTTGACATTAAAGATACATTTCTGCAGGGAGACCAGCTTAAGAAGGAATTATTTCTTCATCCTTCAAAAGAGGCACCAAATGCAGTGGGGACACTCTGGAAGTTCAGTAAATGTAAATTTGGTCTAAGTGATGTCACTAATGTTTGTTACTTCTCAGTAAGGTCTGTTGTTAAAGTTGGGATGTCTGCAGTTAAAAGCAGATTCTGCCATGTTTTACTTGCTCCATGATGGGTAGCTTTCAGGCATCTTGATGATGTATGGGGATTTTCTTTGTGTAGTGGAAACAGTGAATTTGAAGACATTGTCATAAATAGTCTTAAATCAGAATTCAAAATTGTAAATCGGGCTTTTAAGTACATTGACTTGGAAATCGAGCAGAATGAATTAAATGTCACTTTGCTTCAGCAATCTTATTTAGAAAACATTAGCCCCATTGCTATTTGTTAAAGTAGGGCCTCACAAAAAGATGCAGCAGCTTCCAAAACTGAAATGGACGAATTACAAAATCTAATTGGGTAGTTTAATTGGCTGGGCATGCAAACAAGTCCAAATGCTAGTTCTGAACAAGTAGATTTGAGAGCAGGAGGGAGGTATCATTTGGATAATAAAACATTGAAAAAAATTAAAAATGGAGCATTATGTTTTGAAGTTTCCATATCTGGGAGATGCCAAAATTGGAAACTTGTTATTTTTAGTGATTCTTCATATGCTAAGCTGTGCAGGAGATTTTAAAAAATATTTATTGTGGGAAAGGGAGGTAAATAGAATCATAAAATCCCCCCCTGCATGGACGTAGGCCATTTAGCCCATCACATTCACACTACCCCTCCGAAAAGCATCCCACCTGGACCCACCCCCCTGCCCTATCCCTATAACCCTGCATTTCCTGTGGCTAATCCACCTAATCTGCACATCTTTGGACTGTGAGAGGAAAACCAGAGCACCTGGATGAAACTCATGCAGACACAGAGAGAACGCACAAACTTCAAACAGTCACCCAAGGATGGAAGTGAACCCGGGTAGCTGGCACTGTGAGGCAGCAGTGACTGAGGGTCAACAGTGTCAGCTTTAAAACAGATGGTGGAAAATGGGGAAATCTCCAAACTGAAATGGATGGATAGGAGCAGTCAGTTATCTGATTGTTTTACAAAGGAAGGAGCAAGCTCGAATAAACTGTTAGATATATTAAAAGAAAGGACATTTGGAACTTTAATGTGCAAAAGAGAAAAAAGAACGATGTAATACGTTGTTGTGTTGTTTTGTCTTGTTTGATTTTTGTTTTGTTTTATCTTTTATCATCTAATATGGTCTGAAGGGATGTCTGAGACCTAATAAAACATGAAATAGGTGATATATTAATTAAGAGTTAATTGGGTGGATATTGATTGTATAAATATATGTAGCTAGTAATCATTTGGGGAGCTCACAATTCCTTCAGAGAGATACTTGGGCACCACAGGGAGTTGAGTGCCTTATTTCCCCTCTAACTGCATTTTGGTTTAGCCACCACACTTTCTCCCTACTTCTCCCTCACCTTTGGTGATATTGCATTTTTCTTGTTAGGTTTTGCATATAAATTGATTAATAGTAAACCCGGGTGATTTATTGGTGGGGGAAAACCATTCAGTTGTGTTTAATAAACTTGTGTTTTAAAAAAAAAAGTAATCAATGGGATACTGTTTATTTTGCAGTGTTGTAGAATATGTGGATCGTATGTATATTGGCTGAGGAAGATTGCACTCCCTGTTACGTTATTTTAAAAACTTGTTAGTATTCTTTAGGCTGCACTTCAGCCCCACACTTCTGATCTTTGGGCACCTGGTGTGGAGGGGACAGGTAATTTGGAAGACCTCCTCATGGACCTGCTCCTGGGCCTGGCTAAAGTAGCAATCAACAGGCCATGCTGACTCCCTGCTCATCTTCTGCATCTATGTTCATATTTGGGTGTTCTAGGAGAAGGAGCCTGCAGTGTTCACCAGTACTGTCGAGGTATTTAGAGAAAGGTAGGCACTACACGGACCGGGATGCATTATTTCCCTTCCAGCTCCATTTTAATTTAGTCTCTTCCTCTTTCTCAACCCTTTCCTTTTGTTATTGTTGCAAGGCCCTTGCTGGATAGTGATTGTTAATTGTTTAATTTGTTGAACAGTTGATTTGATGATGGATACCAAAAGGAAAGCAGTTAGTAGTTTTGTGTTTTATGGACTGTGATTAACTGAACTAAACTTGTCACTAAAAATGTGGACCTGGACTCTATTTAACAATATTTATCCTCTAATATACAACAATTTGGCATTGTGTATTTCCTGGAGCCTGAGAGAGGGTGTACTTTTATCACATGTTTGTCTTTTATATGCTTACTTCATGAAACGGGATCTCCAGGGTTTTGATTCGTAGATCCACAGTATGGTATGTGTCCAGACAGGGCATGAAGAAAAAGAGGCCTAAAATGTGAACCAATGAAGAACCACTTATATCGTAATAAATCTTATCCACTTTTTATAATCCTTTATCAGTGGCTCAACATCTCGACTGTTTTAAATGAGACCAAAATATTATTGGAAAAAATCTTAAAATAAATTTACTAATCCCACTCTCTAGAATGCTACTTTCAAAGGAGCTGTGTGGAGACGATGCAGCTATAACATAGTTAGCAACAAATAATCAGTCTGAACTTATTTCACATCCAATCCCATGTGTGAAGCAGGGGATCAGGAACTCAATCCTTTTACCTATTGGTGTTAGTCATTGAGGACCAACTTCCTTTACATTGCTTCTCTCTTAGTCACTAAATTTCAGGGTACTATTTTTGAGAAGCACATATCGATTATTCCGTGGTTTTAGTCTTTCTAAAAACCTACTAAAACTGTGTCAATCTGGAATGATAAATTACCCCTTATCTATTTATTTTCAAAGTCTAGCTGTTCAGAGACAAATTGGACAAAACATGCCTTGGTGAACTCTTAAGATTGACAATTTCATCGCAGAATGTAATAATTCTATACTGTTAGGACCAGTCTAATTATGAACACCTAACCAATTTAAACTATTTGATTATGTTGCCAGTTTACATTTTTCATGTTTTCTTAAAGTAGTTTCTTGAAGATATGGATACTCGTGCAAATTATTCTCCATTTCTAGTTTCCCTGAGAAGGTTGCATGCTGTGATGATACTCCCACAATTACAATAAACAATTGAAAATACCTGTACACCTAAACTGAGGCTCTGGTTGTGAATTCATTGGCTGATATTTCCTTTTTGAAAAGAAATATCATCAAAATAAAATACTTAAACTTCATCTTGCATACAGACAAAAGTTACAACGCTGGCATCAATGTGTCACCGATCCTAATATGCCACGGGAAGGTGCAAATACCCACCTGGTCCCCTGGGTCTTCCTGGTAGTAATCGTCCCAATCTGAATATCACTGCACGCTCATATTCTTGGACTATCTGCACCACAAATAAAAAGATGATGATCATACGAGTGAGGATTGGTTACTGCCAACAAATCCAAGCGGAAAGTGTTAAGATTCCTTCAATGTTTACTGCCTGTTAAATATTAACTGTCTTGCTATGTATTTGCAATAATTTCTGGTTTAGTGTCAGTTTTGTTTTCTTTTGGATCCTAAATTTTTTTCTGTGTTGCTCCCCATTAGGTGGCATACTGCTAAGCAGTTACTGGCCATGCCCAACCTTGGCAAATGATGGTCAATATCTAAACAAAAACACACAATCTCTTATTTGTAGGTCAAATATTAAAGCCCTGGAAATACCTCATACCCACTGAACCCAACCTTCCCAAAAATGCTGATGCAGTGTTTTGTTACTATGATACTTGCCTTAACACAGAACCAGACAGAGACTGGGAATGAGACAAGAATCAGCAACAAGGTAAGGAATGTGAGAATACACTCGCAGATGCCTGGCCTTCGGTGCTTGATACCTGTTTAAGAAGAGCAGGCAGGCATATCAGATTATTACAGTCTGTTTTTAATCAAACAAAGCTAAACCCATCTTAAACATCAAGAGTTATCTCCTATGTTTCTTGTATCATGCTCTACTTGTCCCTTTTTCTGTTAGTTTTGTTCTGTCCTTCCTGTTGAAGTACAATTGTTTGGTTATTAGCAATGCAATACTTAGATGTCATTTCGTATGTGAAGCTATTCTGTCCTGGTTTTTCTTCCTGCGTATTGCAGAAGATGACATTAATTGCAGACAAATTTTAATTAGTAGATTTTCTTTTTATTCATTCATTGATGTGGGCATCACGGCTGGACTAGCATTTATTGCCTTTCCCTAATTGCCCAGACGGCAGTTTAAGAGTCAGTCACGTTGCTGTGTGTCTGGACCCAGACCAGGTAAGGATGGCAGATTTCCTTCCTTAAGGACATTAGTGGACCAGATAGGTGTTCCCTGACAATCAGCAATGGTTTCATGGTCATCATGAGTTCATTATTTCCAGATTATTGTTGAATTCAGATTCCACCATCTGCCATAGCAGTTTTGAACTCGGGCACCCAGGGCGTCTGGATTAATAGTTTAGCAATAATATCACTAGACCATCCAGCTCCTCTATAAACTTCATTCAACTTAATAGAAACATTGACCCCAATATTTCAAGGAAGCAGGCATGGGGAGAAATCTGAAATTAAAAGCAGGACTTCATTCTTCCATTTCTAATCTGACAGTGAGCTTAATTTCCTTGACAGACAACCTCAAGGGTGCTGATTCTCACGATTACCAGAGTTTATAATAAAATTAATATCACAAATCATGGGAGGTAGTAATAGAGTGATAATATCACTAAGGGAGTAATCTAGAGGCCCAGGCTAATGCTATGTATTCAAATCTGCCACTGTTGCTGGTGGAATTTATATTTGACCAATAAACTCCAGAATATAAATCAAAGTCAGAATCTTCCCATGGCCTGAACAATGTAGGTGATGGTGAAAATGTGAGAGAGTTGCAAAGAAGCCAAGGGAGGCCTTTCTTGGTGTCAGGGGCAACAAGTGGCATTTTCTAGCCGTCGAGATGAAATTCTTGCTAGTAAATTCAAGAGACCTATTAATGAGGATTATACCCACTATCACCATTATAATCCTCTAATCTCACTCCATCAATTTGCAGTTTCACCATTCTACCACCCATCAAATAGGTGGTAGGGTCATATTACATTGGCAACATGAGTGAGACAGCCATGAAATTTGATATGAAACTGCAATTGAACTGTTGAGTAGAAAGTTCAAAAACAGTTCTTGTGAAAACCACAGGACATGAGAATGCAAGATTAACAGTGATACTAGGCTACATATTTCACAAAACAAAATTAAAACTTACAATAATTTTCAAATATAAAACTATGTGGAAATCAAGTTTTCTTAAGGAGTTAATGTGCACGTGCAGGCCATGCATGTGGATGGAGAGAAGTTGTGGATCACTAATGTCGCTACTGAAAGAAAGCAGTGTGCAGGATTATTTGCTTAGGACATGTTCAGATCAAATCCGAGATCAAGGGGTGCTTGTGAAGAAATAATGCTCAAATTACATGTGTACTTGATTGTTTCACACTAAATGGAGTAATACATGGTTGCCAAAGAAATATCCTTCACAAAGAGTGGAAATATGTGTGCACCTATTGCAAAGACAGTGGGCAGAACCTTATAAGTCCTGAAGAACATATACCATGGCAAGAAGTCAGGAAGAAATACATTGGGATCAAACTTGCACTTCCGCAGTTCGAAACATCAAGACAAGAATATCAATAGGCAGTGGTGAGATGCCTATTACCTGGGATTATTGCCTATTGTTGGCCTCACTAACAACAAATTAACGTGCACCTTCCTATCCTACCATTTGTCACAAGGAAACTTTCCTCTGTCATAGGCCAGAGGTGTCAATGTTCTTTAATGATTGCACAATAGCCAGCATCAATTACGACTCCTCAGGTATTGGAGCAATCCATGTCCAAATGCAAAACCTGGACAAAATACAGGTTTGGGTTAGCAATGGCAAGTAACATTCATGCCACACAAATGTCATACAACGTCCATCTCCAACCAAAGAGAATCTATCTCCCTTTGACATTCAGTAGTATTATTTTCACTGAATTCCCCAATGTCCTGAGGGTAACCATTGACCAGAAGCTGAACTCATTCACCATATAAATACATTGGGAGCAACAACAGATCTGAGGCTATGAATACTGCGGTAAGTAAATCGCTTCCAAAGACTGTCCATCATCTACAAGATGCATGTTCAGGAGGGTGATGGAATACTCCCCATGTGCCTGAATGGGTGTAGCTACAACAACACTCGAGAAGCTTGACACCATTCAGGACAAAGCAGACCATGTTATTGCAACCAAAATCACAAACATCCAATCCCACCACCAGAGACAGTCAGCAGCAGTGTGTACCATATACGAGAAATTCAGAAATTCACCAAGGCACCTTCTGTACCCATGACCACTGCTATCTAGAAGTAAAAGGGCATCAGGTACATGGGAAAACCACCAGCTGCAAGTTCCTCTGCAAGCCACTCACCATCCTGACTTGGAAATATTATCATTGTTCCTTCAGTGTTACTGGGTCAAAATCTTGGAACTCCTTCCCTAATGGTATTGTGGGTCTACTTACAGCTGTTCAAGAAGGCTGATTACCATCAGCTTCTCAAGGGCAACAGGGATGAGCAATAAATGCTGGCCCAACCAGTAATGTCCGTATTCTATGAATAAATCAAAGAAAAAGACGTTGACAATTCCCAACCTCAAATTCAGGGAATTCCAAAGGTTTCCAAAACCTGGCCACTCCAACTCATCGCTTGTCTCTTTAAGCCACCATCTTGGACACCCAGCAACAACATCTCCAGGGCATCTGCACTCTCACCTTCTATCCACGAATGGTGGCACCTGACATCTTCCAGACTCTCAGGACCCTCATGGCATCTTTTTCTGTCCACTTACACTGTAGTTGAGTGCTGCCTTTCAGGACATACTGGAAACTAACATTGTAATGCTACAGCAAGGACGCTTTGCTTGCAGCAACAATATCCAGCTCACACCTGGACCTGGCTGCAGGTTAGGACTCTTCCCTTGCTCTCTAAGCATTCACTCCCCTAGGGCATACCTGGATGCTGAGAGCAACCCTGCCTTTTCTTTTTGTGCTTTGCTGCCTCAGCCTGAGCTATCAAAATCACATTACTTCTGCCTTGCCTTGCTGTTTAGCACTGACACAGAGCATGGAAGTTTCTCATAGTTGTCATTAGGCTTCAGTCACAGCAAAGAAGACCGCCTTCAGTACGGGGGTCCTGAGACTGTCCAAGACCTTGGGCGCAATTGGTCAGCCACCTACGATCAGGGTCCTCTCCTTGTAAGAGGTAGAGGACCAAATGTCTAGCAACACACCAACTGCCTTGGATCTTTCTGCCCTGTTGTTCACTGATTGCCTCCTGTAATGAGAGAAATCTTGGGGTTAAGTGCAATGAAAGTAGGTGGCATGGTAGTTGATGCTGGTGCACGTAGGGAAAGGTGGTGGATTTTCCTGAATGAGTGAACAAGCAAAATCGAGGGCAGGCAGTGTTGGTGATATTGGGTGTTGGGGTGGGAACAGCGAGTGAGGGAAGATGTTGCAGGCAATAGTGAGAGTGGTAGAGAGCAAGGAGTAAGGTGTTTGCAGTAGCAGAGGTGGAAAAAGTATGAGGCAGTGGAGATGGTGTATGGTAAGGGTGAGAGTGTGAGGTAGCAAAGAGGTTTTGTGGTAGCAGGGAGGTTGTGTGAAGTATCGGAAAGAGAGTGTGAGGTAGAGGGGAGGGTGTGAGGTAACAGGGTGGTGGCAGAGTGGAGACGTTTGTTAACATTCTTGCAACATTGCTCATGATGGCTGAAGCTGCACTGACCTGGGTGATAACTTTGCTCTGATCTAGCAGGGTTTGGTATGTGGTCTCCACTGCTGATCCTAGGAGAAGGGGACAGCTGTCCTATGCACCACCCAACTCCTGGGATTTCTAGGTTCGACTCCACAAAGCAAGATGTCCATTTCCCTTTCCCTGCCGTGACCAGGACAAATGCCAGTCACCTTGCAGGCAGCACCATACTGACTGTTAATGGGAGTGTGCAGTGCCTTTTAAAGATAGCGCAGGCACCAGGGATGCTGATCTGTTTCAGGATATCCTGACAATGATAAGTTTCTCAAGGTATAGTCAGTGGTAGGATCAAGCTAGCATCATATGAGAGCATCACCATGTGGACAGGGTTGGTAGGGAATGAAGTGAGTTTAGGATGATATGGTGAGTAATCTTGCTGAGCTTCATGGAGTGAAATCCTCTGTCAAACTCAATGAAATTGATGCTTAGCTAAGATATGACAAGATTCAGCCTAAGTTTTAAAATGTTTCAATTATGGTTTCAAGAGGAGAAATTACTTCTCTCAGAGAGTTGTGAATCTGTGGAACAAATTACGTTGGTATGATGGTGTTGCTCATCACTGACAATGCTTAGTTAGGTTTTCAGCCAGAGTTTAAAGATGGTGTCAAGGATGCCTGTCTATTCTGTGATGCCTAGTGAGTGGCGAGTTCTTCTGGGTACCGCAAGATGGTAGAATAGGCTAGTATTAGACAAGAGAGGTGCTATAGGCGTGTGATAGGTAGTAATGTGGCAGGCAGCCCATATGTTCTTGTAACAAAATACTACAAGTCGAGACGCAGGTAAATACAGAATTCTAAATCTATAACTAATTTTGTCTGAAAGTAATTATAAAATAATGGATGTACGCGCAGCACTGGGTTGCGATCAGGTTCGTGAACTGGAGTCGATTTGTATGTAAGTCAGGACATAATGCAGGACGATGTAAGGTAGCCATTCGTAAATACAAGAAATGTTCATATGTCAGATCTTTAAAGTTACACCCCTGTGTAATCACGTTTCTAAGTACGAGCATTCATAAGTCTGTACTCATAAATCGGGGACAATCCTGTATGTTTGACAGGGGGCATTAGAACTTTAAGCACACTCATCAATTAAAGCCTAATGTAAAGTTAACATCATGTATAGGATGGCCTGAAGGGCTAAAAGTTAATGATGATATTCGACGGTTGCGTGAGAAGATAGATTGTATAGGATGGGCTGAATGGCTAAAATTGTTGATGATACTTGACAAGCTGCATGAGCTTGAATGAGTCCTGTGAACATTCCTTTACGAGCCAAAGATGACACTTGCACTTGTTTTCCCATCCTGTGTTTTCTGTACCAGCCAACTGTTTATCTGCTTTCTTTGTGCTGGCTGTTTGTCGCACTCTATAAGAGAGAGAGTTTCGTTCTAAGCTGGTGCTTATGGACTTCGCTTTGACTCGGAATCATGAACAGTGCCAGGAGCGAACCTAAGCCTCCTGACCAGCCATCAATTGAGGGGTCTCTGATAGGCAGAAGAACATGAGACTTGTTGCTTTTTCTTGATAGGCGTGAGACTTGTTGCTTTTTTTCTCTTTTCTTTTCCCTTTATTATTACCACTATAATCATTTATTGTTGCCATTATCATAATTTATTATTACTTAATAAGCATTCATATTTAAGCAAATTGCTGTTGTTGAGCCTTCTTTTAATTATATTTACCCAAATCTGAAAAGAACCACTTGGATACACGATATGATCCAAGACACTCCATGACCACCATTGCAGCCAAATATTTTCGTCAATTGCACAGATTTATGTGCTGGAGGAGTGGTATCCTTAGCTTTTAGGCTCAGTTTTTTACAGCAACTGAACAAGATCAAAAATGATGGATCTCTGAAGGTTGCAATTGTACCTTTTGAAAACAACTGCATCTATTCTAACTAAAAATTGAAAGAACTGCAGATGCTGTAAATCAGGAACAAAAACAAAGTTGCTGGAAAAGCTCAGCAGGTCTGGCAGCATCTGTGAAGGAAAAAACAGAGTTAACGTTTCAGGTCTGGTGACCCTTCCTCGGAACCATGTTAACTCTATTTTTTCCTTCACAGATTCTGCCAGACCTGCTGAGCTATTCCAGCAACTTTGCTTTTGCATTTATTCTAACATTAATTAACCATTTTTGATTTCAGTCTGATATAAATGAGTTGTGGATATGTAGTGAAAAGGGTTGAAGAAAACCCGTAAAGATAAACAGGGAGAACTGAAACGACACAAAACCTGATTCCAAACAAGAATTTTTTTTTAAATTTAAGTGCAGGCCATTGCTCTCCCCAATCGCAGCCCCTCTTCCACTTCTCACAACCAACTCTTACCTTCCTCTAGTGCTTCAGTTTCAATCAGGGCAATCTGCTCCTCACTCTCATCTGAGCTTACTACATTGTCCACGTCCACCACAGTGCAGCTTGTCACCTTACCATCAGCACTGAAGGAGCTTTCTGACAGGGCTTTCTCATTTCTCTCTTTTTTCCTCTTTGAATCCTTTGTCACTGTGTTTCTCATTTGCGTTGTTTTGCCCTCATTCATGCTGAAGGTCTTGCTTTTCATACCTTTCGCTTTTATAATCTTTTCTGCAGTAGAAAAATCATGTTGCCTTATTTGTGATGTTTTTGAGGAATGGGATGAAGCCCTGGAGTTCCTTTCCATTGTTCCTACAGATCCACTGGATGAAAGCTTACCCTCTGTGCAAATCCAAGCTGCCTTTGCTATTTTTATACTTACGATCTTTGCATCTTTCAAAGCCACTTCGGACTCTCCTCCTTGATTTGGTAAGATGCCAAGGTCATATTTTATTAACTAAAGACCCAGGTTAATGTTTTTCTAAATATTTTACTGACATAAAAGGGAGTGATCGACTCCCTAGATTTAATTAAAGTTACACTCCTAAGATAGTGGGCCTTCACCGCTACTGTGACCAAAATGATCATGGATAGGTAATTGTGTAACTAAATTATACAGGAATGAACTGGTGTGTGTGAATGTTGTGAGAAGTATATTTAACCAGATTGCCAATGTCTTTATGCCCACATATCAGGGCTTTTTGGGTTTGAGCCAGTGCTGCAGCATTCAAAGCCACTTAATGGCTGCCGACTGGCTTTTTGGATGAAGGTATAATACTAAAAGATGCCAACTTCAGTGTCTGATGTCTGCTGACCTTGTACGTGCCTGGAGTTCCATCAGCTCTGAGCTGTGTAATTTCCATTCGGTCTGTTCCAACAATTATGGAAATGTGTTCATTTTTTTGGCTCCTGCATTTTGAAATATTCTGGGAGTCATAGTCCTAGAGATGTACAGCACAGCTATCTACCAAGGCCCTTAGATAAAACCTTGCAAATGCACAATCATACCCCATTGAGGCTATCTACACTAATCCTAATGTAATAACTCAGGAAGCCCGACTGTAAAGGAACATCATAAATTGTTAAACACCAAAATAGAGCCACTTCTCATGACATACATGGACTAGTTCCAACCTAGGACAGACAGTTCTGCAAACCCATCCGTGGATCTGCTTTTTCTCATATATCTGGAAGTGCTATCACACATAACCAAATAGATTTGTTCCCATCATCAAATCACCGTGACTTTTTATTTCTTTTTCATTCTCATTTTAGCTACTAACTGCCACCAGTAAATCACCCGTGTAGCCAATTAGATATTTATGTGCAAAGCTCATTAAGGGCAATACATACCATCAAAAGTGAGAGAGGGGTAGAGACAGTGGGAAGGAGCTAAATAAAATGGAGTTAGATGGGGAGATAAAGCACTCTGACCCCTGCAGTGCCCATCTATCTGTAAAGGCATCATGAGTATTGGTGGACACTGTGTGCTCCAAGTCCAAGGACACCTGGACACGAATATAGCTTTGAAAGAGGGGCAGACAATTAGCAAATAACACAGTCCGCTGCCTGGACCTGTAGGTAACCAATGTGGCCGGGCCTAGGAGCAGACCCATGAGGAGGTCCTCTGACTGGCCCACACCCCTTTGCATCGGATGTCCAAAAATCAGAAGCATAGGGCTGAAATGCAGCCAAAAACACCACAAAGGTTTTCTCATAAAGGGATCAGATGATGAGTTTCAATTGGGCAGGCCATTGCCTGTTACCGCGAACTCATACTCAGAGATCCTTGAGAAAATTAATTTATGATTCCCCAAGGGCCTTGTCGGTGTTTTCACACCCATGTTCCAGCACTTGGCCCCATAGCCTTGCATGTTATGACACTTCAAGTACTCATCCAAGTACAATTTGAAGATTTGTGAGGTTTCCTGTCTGTATTCCCTTCCAAGTAGTGGATTGCAGATTCCCATCACCCTCTGGATGAAAGAGGTTTTCCTCAAATCCCCTCTAATCCTCCTGCCCTTCATTCTAAAATCATTATTGACCTTCAACTAAGGGGAACAGCTGCTTCCTATCCACCATGTCCTTACCCCTCGAAATCTTGTACACCTCAATCCGATCTCCACTTAGCCTTCTCCGCATTAAAAAAAGCAACCTGAACCTATCCAACCTCTTTATATAGCTAAACTGCTCCATCCCAGACAACCTCCTGATGAATCTCTTCTGAACCCCTTCCATTGCAATTGCATCCTTCTTACAGTGTGGTGACCAGAACTGGATACAGTAATCTGACTGTGGCATAACCAATGTTCTATAATTCCAATATAACTTCCGGCTCTTATAATTGATACCACAACTAATAAAGACAAGTGTCCCACATGCCTTCTTAGCTACCTCCAGTGATCTGTGGACAAGAACATCAAGATCCATCTGTTCCTCTGAGCTTCCTAGTGTTTTGCCGTTCATTGAGTACTCCCTTGTCTTTTTACTTCTTCCAGAGTGCATCACCTCCCACTCGTCAGGTTTAAATTGCAACTGCCACCGATCTGCCCATTCGATGAACCCCTTTTGAGGAGGTGTCTAGGTGTGTAGATGATGGTAGTGCAGTTGATGTAGTTTATATGGATTTCCCACAAGATCCCACATAGGAGAATGATAAAGAAGGTATTCCCTTCAAAAAATTCTGTCAAATTTATTAGGCATGATCTGTCTCTGATCAAGCCATGGTGATTATCTCTGATCAAGCCTTGCCTCTCCAAATGACATTTAATTCTCTCCTTCAGAATTTTCTTCAGTAGTTTCCTTACCACTGATGTCAGATTCATTGTTCTGGAATTCCCGGTGTGTCTCTACCATCCTTCCGGAGTTATGTTAAGTGTCCTCCAGTACTCTGGCACCTCCTCTATGGCAAAGACAATTGAAAAATTTGATTCAGAGACCTGTAATTTCCTCCCTCGCCTTCCACAGAAGCCTGGGATATACTCATCCAGACCTGGGTTTTTTCCATTTTTAAGCCCACCAAATCCTCCAATACCACTTTACTCTCTATGTCAATCTGCTCAAGAACCTCACAGTCCCTCTCCGCAAATTCTGAGCTTACATCCTCCTCCTGAGTGGAGGCCGGTGTGAAGTACCCTTATAATAATTTTTACTCATTAAAATCTACTGCCTAGTTAAACCTCTTTTTGGTCAGGGGGCTGAGGTCAGAGTCATTAGTGGTATGTGGGGTTGTTGGTGCGAAGTAGTTGCCCAGAAGTTATATCAGAATTTTTATGCCAAGCATTTTCTGCATAATTATCCAGCTAAGTAGGCTGGAACTATCTGCATAGACGACTTGCTCAGAATCTGAGACTTTTTTGGAGGGTTCAGGGATTAGGCAAATTGCCTGTTAGAAATTGAGACTTCCTGGCAACTTCCATAGAATTAATGTGTTGGCATTTCCAAGGGATTTTGACATGCATCTCTGACTCTACTTGCTATTTCTGCCTGCTTCTCAAATTTCTGTCCTTGGAAACAACAATGCATATCTTTTCAAAATATACTTCTGCTTCCAGATTGGAGCAATAAGCAGGATAAGCAAGCATTGAATTCAATTGCTTGTTTATTGTTTAGGAAGTCTGTGGAGCTAACTATGGAGCTAAATATTTCTCCGCTTTTTGATAAGCCCAAATATTGTCTGGAAAAGACGTTGACTCACAGTTTGAGATTTGAATGATATAAGCATTGAGGAAAAAGAAGACTCAGCCATCCATTTAATTAGGATGAAATATGAGTGGGAAGAATACATGTTTTTAAATTTAAAATCACACTTTGGAAGGCCAATTTTTCATAACTCCTGGATAGCATGTATCTCTTTGATCTAACTCTGTGTCCACGTTGTTCTGCGTGGCTCAGTGCCAAATTTTATTAGATAATGTTCCTGTAAACTGCCTTGGGATGTTTAACTATGTTAAAAACATATAAACAGGAGTTGTTGTTGATCAAAGTTACAAATTAAACAACTGGTCTCCAGATCTTTTGTACCAGATTTTTAGTGAATCCGATTTTATGAGCATGTTTTTAGGATCACAAGTGTTATGATCCCAGTTCATAGTAAAACTGGACAAACTGATCCCAGATTGAGACCTGGCTTGATAGATCATAAGTTTTATTGCAACAATTTGATTACCATAATGGATGATTCACAAGAGACTGGTAATGTAATTTTGATTAAAAAAAATCAAAGTTTATGATATGTAAAAGCTGAAAAAAACTCAAAGATCTTGTCATTAACAGCAAAAAGAAAGATTCAATCCTTTTCCCACCAATATCCTTTATAGACACTCAACTGCAGTGAAGTACCACTCCTGTCTTTACTTTTTAAGCATTTCAGCGACTTTTTGCACATTCACCAGATATGATTTTGTCCATTTCTACTGGAGAAACAAAGGCTAACTCATTGACTTCTCTGACTGAACACTAAGGAGAAAACACAGGGCCTTTTTCTAGTTACTCTGACTATTTTGATACTGCTAAATAGTAAATTTTCTGAACAGAACATTATTTTGGCCTCTTTTCAATTGTCTTTGCCATAGAGGAGGTGCCAGAGTACTGGAGGACACTTAACATAACTCCGGAAGGATGGTAGAGACACATTGGGAATTACAGAACAATGAATCTGACGTCAGAGGTAAGGGAACTACTCTGGCCACTTCATCTGTTATTCCCTGGGTTGTAAAAATTTGGTAAACACTGAAGCAATTACCTCACCAGGTAACTTGTTTAGTCATTTATCTTAAATCTCATGATTTGTCGGAAATGATGTTTTGATTCACCACTGGAAGAAATGAGTTCTGACCCTAAAAAAATAATGCAAGTGGCTTTCACAGAACTCAAAAACAAAAACTCATTTAACTCTACTTTAAAACACACATTCCCAAGTAACAAAAGATTATGAACCTTTATCATATAAGGTAATGCTAGCAGAAGAAATGCATTCCCCAAACACACACACACACACACACACACACACGCGCGCGCGCACACAAGCCATATCTAAGCTATTATAATTAGGTTTCATTTTGAGTGTTTTATGACTTCAGGTATAATTCCACCTGCCCACATAACACAAACTTAAAACACCAAAATGGGCCTGGTGTGTTGTAGAGTAATTTTAAAATCAAAGTTTCTGATCATCAATTTGATTTGTTTGTTACCTATTTTATTATACAAAGGATTTTGAGATTTATTACTTTAAAGCATTGTGATTTACATTCAAAAAATTCATGCAGATTTAAAAGTTTATTTATGCCATTTCTGTAAAGAGAAGTTTATATGCCAACGTGGCA